GCAAAAATAAGATTTTCAATGAAAATTTAATAACTCAATCAAAATAAAACTTATGTCCTTAAGAAAATTATTACAAGTTCACCTAGGTCAGAGGACCACTTGGACCAATTTTCATGATACCAATTTTCATGATTTTTAAAGTTTTAATTTAATTAAATGATTAATTTAATTATTAGAATTATTTCATTTTTTTAATATTAATTAAATATAAAATATTATTTAATAACTTCTATATTTTTATTAAATCTTAATTTAATTTTATATTTTTATTAAATCTCTCTTAGTCCAAGAAACCCAAAGAAACAAATTTCATATTTTGGTGGTTTTTATTTTAATTATTGGAATTATTTTAGTGAAAATTAAAGAAAATTCATTTTTAAGCTTTTAAAATTAATATCTTGACTTAGAACATTAGGAAAATTATTTTAATTGGTCCCGAGTAATCAAGAATCCAAAAGTGACATTTTAGTGTATTTTGACAATTATGTGATTTTTATGATTTTTAATTAATTTTATTAATTTAAATGCTTAAAAATAGATTAAAAATGAAGTGTTTATTTTAATTTCACTTTTATTTTTCTCAGATTCCTCTAGTCATAAGAAGCTCCCAAAATCCATTTGATGGTTTTTTGAATTATATTTTAATTATTATAATTATTTTAATATCAAAAATGTCATTTTATCTTAAAAATTAATTTTAGTGATCAAATTAACTCCAATTGACTTAATTTTTTTATGGGGAGTTTCCCTAACTATTTTTTTTAAATGTGGATTAGTTTTCATGATTTTCTAACTTTATTTTAATTATTTGATTTTTCTTGAGCTTTAATGAGTTAAATACATAAAGTGTTATTTTTAATTACTTGAATCCATTTTATATTTTTTCTTAGGTTCTCCGACCACAATGAACCTACCAAAAGAAATTTTGTATTTTTTATTAGTATTTTAATTATTGTAATTTTTTTCACCAAAATAGGGACCATCAACTTGAATTTAGAGATCTCTAGTTAGAGATGTCCCCTAAGCTTGGAAAAATCAGAGTACATCCCTAATTATGTGAGGAATAAACCCTCCAAATTTCACATTTTCTTATTAATATTTTAATATTTATGATTGAAACAAATTCTAGAGTATTTAATTAATTTAAAAATTAATATAAATATAGTTTTTTTTTTCATTTTAATTCATATTATTCTCCCTATTCACCGAGCAAGATAATATTTTTATTTTATTTTTTTGTTTTTTCTACACTAAGATATGGATTTTTAAAGTTTATGTATTTATTTAAAATAAAATAAATAATAATAATAATAAAACTTATTTCTCTACTTATCCACTTCGGTGCCGCGTCGACCGCAACGTCTTCAAAGCCTAAGTTATTTTGCACCTAACGAGTCTAAGTTTTGAACATGTTCATATGTAAATATGTAAAAGCTAAATAACTTGTAAATAAATTTATAAGATCTTAAATAGTAGCCAAACAAACATACAAAATTAGAGTGGTGTGCATGTAAACTATCAAAGTTTAGGTGTTGTGTATATAGATCCATAAAAGTAGAGTGACATGAATGTAACTATTTGAACTTAAGTATTGAATATGTGGATCCATAAGAATCGAGTGATATGCATGTAAACATTTAAAGTATGGGCATTAGCATGCGATTATCCATGTTTGGGTGGCATGAACCTAAGAGTAAAATGTTACACATGTAAAATATTAAAATTTACGCATTAGATGTGTGGATACACAAGATTTGGGTGATTCACATGTAATGCAAGAACAATTTGGTACGAGTGAAAATACATGAAAATAGGGTGGCATGCATGTAAACTCCTTTGTTAAAAAAAGGATCTACTATACATGCAAATACAGAAGAATTGAGTGGTATGCATGCAAATATAAGGAAAAAAGAGAGAGATGAGAGAAAAGAGGCTCACCTCACGGTTTGGATGAGTGGGGAGAACTTACTTTGCTTGAGCTACTTCTCTTGGTTGGAGGAGTTCGGAGTCACGGCAAGGAGAGAAGGGAGCTTGGGTGCTTGCTTGGTTGGAGTTTAGTGAGTTGAATGCTTTAGGATGAAGAGGAGAGGCTCCCAAAATCGTGAGGTATGGAGAGGGAGTGGGGAAAAAGGAAGAAGAAACATTTTTTTTTGGAGAGGGAGGTGCTTTTATAGGTTGGAGTAGCATGTGAGTTTTTTTGAATTTTTTTTGTTTTGTCATTTTGTGTCATGTGTGATTTGATTCATATATATATATATATATATATGGCATTTAGTGACATGTGAGTTTTTACTTGACTTGGAAGGAAGTGGACTTGACTCACTTTTGTGCACTTTTGGTCCATGTCATGAAAATGGGTTGTACTCACTTGTCATGAAAATTGAGCTTCATGGGGGCTTGGGTGGCGATGTTTTAATCATGGGGATTTGGATTTAGCTTAGGTTAGAGTGAGTCATGAAAATGATTAAGTGCCTTTTAGAGGATCTTAAAAGAAAGTCCTCCTTTTGCCACTTAAGGAGTGGTTTGAGATGATTTTTGGACAAATTTGGGTGTTTTGGTTAATTTTGGGATTTTTTTGCAAAAATTAGGGTTGTATGGGTACTTTGGTAATTTGGTAGTTTTGGGCCAAAATCGGCCAACATGCCAGGAAGCCATACCAAACCAATAGGAACCGTGTGAGAACTCATTTTGGATGCTCAATATGTTGGTTCTAACCCTCTTAGCCAAAGACTAGGGTATAAGTTCATTCATATGAGCTTCTCAAAATGAATCATGGGACCGCATTAGGAGGTCCAGGGTTTGGGGTGTGCAAGAAGTGTGTTCGAAGCTAGCCCAATCAAGATCAAACCACCCAGGGTTAGTCCTAAGGCCAAGCAATCCTATGGGCACTCCCCTTGAGTTCACCGATACTGGCCTCACCTACTAAGTGCTAGAGGTTGGGACCAGTATATGGAACTCCAAGTTGAGCAAAGAAAAGTTTAGGATTTCTAATTGTGGGGGTTCCTTTTCTAGTTCTCTATGAATAGTAAATAGGAAAATCCTATGGCTAGACCCTCGGCTACTAAAGAGGAGAAAGCTAGACGTCAACCAAAAGTGAGGTCAGCAGTAAGTCAATTATTCAATCTTTTATTTTTTCAATTCATTTGCAAATGTAATTTGTTGTTACTTACACGTGTAATTTTTTATATGATGAGCAATTGAGGTCGAAGGATGCTTAGAGCCACAATTCAAGAAGAGTTGGTGGTTCTTGTGGCTAGTGCGAGCATTCTAAATTTTAACATCTAGTGAAATTCATTGAAGGGAAGAAGTGAGGAAGGATATATGGCTCAAGATCTTAGGGGCTATCCTACAATGCACGACACTTTCTCCATTGAGTGTGTGTCATCTACTGATGAACTAATTAGTAGGGGTGACACAGCCTTTGCTCGGGATATTGAAGCTCGAGTTACCACACAGATGGAACCTTGACTAGTTGACATGAAAGCCAAAATGTAGCAGATGAGAAGTGATGCACGTCGCTAAGGATGCAGCTAAAAGTGGAGCAAGAATGCTACTATTTACTACTCCAACACCTAAAATTCAAAATTTACATTCCCAACCTTTTAAATTCACAAATACTCAAATATAACACTCTGTATCAATTTAACTTGATGTAATCTTGCTCCCATTTTGTACAAGGATGCATATTAGTCTTTGGTATGCCCATGCTACTTAGTGTTGGCAATAATGCAAATTTTCCTCGTCTTGCATGCATCATTGATAAGAAGTGATGAAAGACAAAATGTAGCAGATGAGAAGTGATGCACGTAGCTAAGGATGCAGCTAAAAGTGGAGCAAGAATGCTACTATTTACTACTCCAACACCTAAAATTCAAAATTTACATTCCCAACCTTTTAACTTCACAAATACTCAAATATAACACTCTATATCAATTTACTTGATGTAATCTTGCTCCCATTTCGTACAAGGATGCATATTTGTCTTTGGTATGCCCATGCTACTTAGTGTTGGCAATAATGCAAATTTTCCTCCTCTTGCATGCATCATTGATAAGAACTCCTACTTCATTTGACAGTCGATCAAAGATAAATCTTTTTTTCTTAACTACTAATTCTTATTAAGCCCAAAGCTTTATCGTTTCCTCCTATCATTTGTAGATTGCAGCACCTAATGTTGCTTACAGTTTCGGGCTTTTTTCTGTGGTCATGAGCACATGGTCGGTCGTTGAGGTGATGAGGGCTACTTGAAGTGTTATGGTTGTCGAATTCTCTATCGTCAATGTCGTCGTTTCAGGATGCTCTCTTGCAAGAAGCAGAACTGCAATGGCACGAGTTCTTGTGATCATGAAAGTTAGTTGCTTGCCTATGTAGGGGGTACTAAGGGTTAGTAACAATCATCTGTTTAGATTTGGGAAATCAACTACTATGCTGATTTAGGAATAGGTGAATCGATACTCCTAAGGTCATAGTTTTCAAATCAAGATTTGTAATGACTAAGGATTACATAGACTGCATCAAGCTAAATTGATGTGGAGTCTCATATTTGGGCATTTGTAAAGTATAAGGAGTTAGGAATGTAAATATAGAGTTTAAGACAGATATGTAAATATACTATTTTACGGGGGTATGCGTGTAAATCCCCCTTTAAATATAAGCAGCACTTAGCCATATGTATTTTCATATCTAACATCAAAACTTTAACTAACCATTACTTTTATCCCAATCAAATCGGTCACATCACATAAAAATGCCACCTTTTAAAAGGTTAAATGCATATTCTCAAGAAGATGGGCATATATCTGTAAAAATTGAAGTTTAGGTGTTAAATATGTAAATACAAAAGACTAAATCTTCCGACTCGGTCTAAAATTAAAATATTGTTAAAACTTTAAAATCTCCACGCGTGCGTGCGTGCGTGCGTGACATGAATGCGAAGACTCCTTTTCATGCTTTATAAGGCATCCTCTCCTCCCCATCCCAATCCCAACTCCACACCAAACATGGCCGACACCGCATCATCCCCGCCCCCCGTCGCCGTCAAAACTACCGACGCCCACTTAATAGAAATAGATCCAAGTTCACACAACACTGCCGGCGTTAGCTCCATCGACGACGTCATTGAACGCTACATGTCTGCTGGTGACGGCTCCCTCACTCTCCTCCTGTTCCCATTCCTCGCCACTCTCACCTGGATGTTCGACGGCCAACAAACCTTCATCAACGTCTTCTCCGATTTCCAACCACCATGGCACTGCACATCTCCCAGCTGCAACTTCACCACCTCCCTTTCCGCAGTCTGTAATCTCCCCTCCTCCTCCTGGTCCTTCTCCCACAACCGCCGCATCTCTACCATCTCCGATTTCTCTCTTGAGTGCGCCTCCCCTGTCCTCCTCGCCCTCCCCTCCTCCTCCTTCTACGCCGGCTGTCTTGTCGGCGGCCTCCTCCTCGCCACCATATCCGACTCCCGCTACGGCCGCAAACAGATCCTCGTCCTCTCCACCTTAACCATGTCCATAACCGCAGTTCTCACAGCCTTCTCCCCAAACCTCGCCATTTACGCCGCACTCCGCTTCGCCTGCGGTTTCGCCCGCTCCAACGTCGGTCTCTCCGCCTTCGTTCTTTCCTCCGAACTCGTCCCCCGCCGCCACCGCGAACTTGTCAGCATCTTCTGCTTCAGTTTTTTCACCATAGGCTTCCTTACTCTTCCCCTGATTTCCTTTCTAAACAGAGCATCTTCTTGGAGACTGCTCTATCTCTACACCGCCATCCCCGCCTTCATTTACAGCTTTTTTCTCCATTTTTCAATGGTAGAGTCCCCGCGTTGGCTTTTGGTCAAAGGTAGGAGACAAGAAGCCATCGAAATACTGAAAAAGCTCTCACTTTTAAACAAAACAGAGAGCTTCGCAGACTTGGCGGTGACGACATCTGAAAAAACAGAGTCTGGCGGTTTATACTCGGCGGCCAAAATTTTGTGGGAGAAGGATTGGGCTTTACGGCGGTTGGGAAAAGTTATGATTGTGAGCTTCAGCGTCGGAATGATGTACTACGGAATGCCGCTCAGTCTCGGGAATCTCAAGGCCAATCTTTATCTGAGCGTGGCCATGAACGCTGTGGCAGAGCTTGTGTCGACGTCCATCATCTTCTTTGTCGTTAAGATGGTTAGCCGGCGGAGGTCTATGATCGGGCTGACGGTCGTGACTGGAGTCGCTTGCCTTGCTTGTGCGGGAATGTGGGGCGGAAGTTTGTCGGAGATGTTGTTGGAGTTGGCGGCGTTCTTCGGAACATGTACTGCGTTTAATATTCTGTTGATTTACGCCATCGAAATGTTTCCGACGTCTGTTAGGAGCTCGGCCATTGCGTTGGTGAGGCAGGCGGCGGTGGTCGGCGGGGTGGTGGCGCCGGCGGTGGTGATGGCGGGAAGGAGGAGGAGATTTCTTTCGTTTGCGGTGTTTGGGATAGTTGTTATTTGTGGTGGGTTGTTTGTTTTCTGGTTGCCGGAGACGAGGGGGCGAGGTATTAGCGACACCATGGAAGAAGAGGAGCAGAAGATGGAGAAAAAATTGCCTACTTAGCATGTAAGCAGCTCGGTGTCCGTGAGAGAGTTTATTGAGAGATTATTCGAGATTTATACCGCATTATGCCCCTTGTAATTTTTCTATAACCTATCTGTACATTCTATTAAGTTTTACGCTTCTATTTTCATATATTTATATATTACAGATAGGTTACAAGTATGTTATACGTAGGTTACATAGGATATAACACGGATATAACCCCTCAATATCTTTCGAATAACCTCTCTGACGGACCCATTTCTCGAAAAGATGAACCTAAGGATACTTTTTATTCAGTAAAATTTTGTTGTATTTATGACTTTTAAATCACATGTAAATAAATAATCATTGGACGATTATAAGTAATTTTATTTTTATTTACAAATCATGCACCCGATTTCATCTTTTTTTTTTTTTTTTTTTTTTTTTTTTTTTTTTTTAATATAAAATATAAAAAATTGTGATAAAAAACCGACTCATATCTTTTAACTTTATAAAATTCACAATGATTTGATTATGACATTTAATATTTTATACTCAAAAATTCATTTAAGAACTTGATTTGTAAATAACATTGTTTGTTGTGCTTTGTAGGTAATTATCCTTAAAATAAATTTTATAATAATTTTCTCTTTTAAGAAAATAATTATTGGTTAATCTCCAAGAAAAATAAATGGGGATACGTACCATCCGAAATGGTATATATTCATATGTCGGTCTGTCAAAAAAGCTCGTTGTTTGCGAACAGCTCTTGTTCGGTTCGTTAAATGAGCCGACACGAACAAGTTCTTAAAGCTCGAATTATAAACGAGCTGAACGCAAACAACTATTTGTTCGCTCGTATTCGGCTCGTTTTAGCTCGAAATAAAAAAAATTATATATTTATTTATATAATATTATATTATATAGAATATTTATATAATAATATATTATATATATTTATATCGAAGTTTAACTTGTAACATATTGTGAGGTAATGTGGTTGTGTCTTTTTTTGCATACATTTGGTCTAGGTTCAAATCTAGCATTTTACATATTTTTTTTTTCAATTTAATTTTAACGAGTCAATTTCGAGCCGAACACAAGCACACTGTTCAAGTTCACGAGCCGATTTCAAACAAGAACAATTTCGAACGAGCTGACACGAGCCTCGTTTACAGCCCTATTCATATATAACTTCTTGAATTTTAAATCTACTTTAATACCACCCATTATTTATGAAGTCTCCTATTATTCCACTCTTTAGCCATCTCAAAATTAAGAGGTTGAATGTGGAATTTTTACATTTTTTTGGATGGTAAATATGTAAATCACCAAAAAATAAAGGGGTTGTTTGGCTTATCACCAAAAATAGCTGAAACTGGAAGGCAAAATGATGTCATGTTCATGTACTGCCACGCGGTGAATTTTTATTTATATTTAAAAGCCTTTCCAACTAAATAAAAACGAGGTTCGTAGTTTATAAATAATGGGTTTTTAGACCCGTTGTGACTAAAGAAGTTTCAACCGTTGAGAAAATGAATTTAAGATTCAGTAGGATTTTGAAGTCTGTCATAATTTATAAGTTGTGAGTTTGATGTGTCGAATTTTTATCATCTGACATGAATATCATGATTTTTTTAATAATAATGTTTTAGATTCAAATTCAAGATCATTTAGAGCCATGATTTCCACAAGTTTATAGTGAAACTGACAGGACGAACCCAACAAAGCCAAAATTGATTCAATTTGAGTCAAACCATACCCGGATCAATCCACTGAATCACTTCTGGAAGCTTTGGGTGGTTCATTTGAGGGTCAAATGAACTTCAAATTTGACATACATACAATCAATTGAGTGTCTCAACGAGAGGAATCCAACGAGTCTAAGCTCCCTTAATTATAAGGTCATTAAGCCAATCAATTCATTAAAAAAAATTTAATGATCAAGGGCATCAATATGGGTCATTTGATGAGGTAGTTAATAATATTACTTATAATGACTAAAAACCCCCTTCCTTAAAGCTTATAAGTAGAACTCCTCTTTTCACTTCGAGGAAGAGGAGAATGAGTCAAATTCTCATGTCATTTTGTAATAAAGGCCCGACAATAACTTTCAGCTTTCATAATCGCCGACCACAGTCGACAACCGCCAGTCGATCGTCATCGACCACCGCCAACCACCCCTTGTCACCATAAGCAAATTTATTGTGTAACGACATGTCCCGAATACTATGTAATGAAGTATCCTAAATATGGTGTAACGAAGTTTCCCCGAGTATAGGATAACAAAGTATCTTGAATACTGTGTAAGAAGTATTTTGAGTACGGAGTAATTAAATATCTTGAATATTATACAATGTTGTATCAGAAACACAGTGTATTGAAGATCTAGCGATAATTATCGACAACAACCACTTATGACCGCTTTATTCAAAATATGACGACTTTTCTCATACTCCTTACTTTTTATATACATTGTGTACTAATAAGTGTTATATTTGATGTAACATTGTAACAATTCTTTTTCTGTGGGACAATGGTTTATCATTGTACTTATGAACATATAGTTTATTATTTTTACTAGGCTAGGCCCTGTGACTTTTTCCCTTTTTAGGTTTTTTCACATATAAAGTCCTGATGTCTTCTTATGTTATTTCTAAATTATTTATGTGTGTGTGTTGGATTTTCCATACAACATTGAGATATTAAATTATCACATTATTATCATGAATCTTCTGACACGCAACAGTTTAGTTCGATCTATGGGAAACGATGTCTTGTTGATATAATTCTACACTTCATCGATGGCTAATAAGCATAACACATGAGCTTCTCGCTCTAAAATCCATCATTCTAGATTTGCAATCTCAAAGTCTGGAATGTGAAGCATCTATTTTGTTTCTTAATAATATACATCATCATCATGCTGGTAAGGAACCTCCTTAGCACCACTTGAAGATTGTGCATGAAAGATGGAGGAGTATCAAAATGAGATCCTTTAACTTTAACATGAGGTTCGACAACCAACAGTTGTACATAATGGAGGGGCACAATTATATCAAAATCCATCAACTAGAGGTGCATAGTTGACACTCCCTCCACGCAATAAAGTTCCCCTCCAGGAGGTTGTAATCATATATATTGTTAGCTTTACACATCCACCTCCTGCCATCAAGCCTACCAACAAACCTCCAACACATATGAAGAATGTAACTCGACCTCATGTAATCCGCGACAAATTAAAAAATTTAGTATGTTAAGAGTTTCCAATGAGGGATAAAAGCCATTTCTCAAATCAGTGTGATTCTAAGGAGTTTTCTTCGTTAGTTGTGTCTGTCTTTCAATTTCCTATTCCAGTAAGGTTTAACCCTTTAAGTATTGATGCTTATAATGGATTGTTACCTCATTTTTGTATGAGGTTTGTTTTGTTACTTCTCTCTCTAACTTAGGGTTTAGCCTTAGAATTTTCGTAGTCGTATTTCCTATAGGATAAGTGATTAAACTAATATTAAGCTAGAACTTTAAGCATCCATTTGCTCCTTAGAGTTTCGTACGTTTTTATCTAAAATCTTCAATCTTTGGTTGTGTTGATTGAGTTTAATTCATTGAAGCTTAAGTTGAGTCCCTATAAGCTTAAAATGGCCCTAAGCTACCCTTTGACCCTAGAGACTTGTGACTTCTACTTGACCATTCTTTGGGCACTTCACACTTTCTTCTTTAAACTTTTTGGATAACTATTTCTTTAGCACATAAAGGCCCTTGAGTAATGAGGTTCATCTTGAACAAAGATAAATATTTTATCCTAATAAAAGAGAGAATGATTAAAATCATAAAATCCAAAATTAAAAAATAAATACTAATATCACAAATTCAAATTAAATAATATCAATTTCATTAAAAATAAAAAAATAAATAAAATCAAATTTCAATATGAATTTATAAAAATTTACAAAAATTTCAAAATTAACCAATAAAATGAAAACCAGAATAAAAAATTGGAAAAATCATAAAAATATCACAATCATTTCAAACTAAAATAAAAATCATAAGAATTAATAAAAACCAAAAACAAGGAAAGAAACCAATAACTAATCTCACATAAGTGTTTAGACTCCTGGCCTTCTACTTCTATGGTCATTTGGACTGCTGATCGTCCAGACTTCTAGTCGTCTGGACTTTTCGCTAGTTGTTATTCTGGTTGTCTAGACTTCCGGTTATCTAGACTTCTGGTCGACTGGACTTCTAGTCATTTCTCTAAAAGATTCAGTCTGAATAATTTTATGTATGCACTCCAAACCACTCAAACTCAAAATGCATTAATTCAAAAGGGAAATTTATATAAAAAAGAAAAAAAATTAGGGAATGTGAGATCGAGGTTACCTACGATTTGTGTGTAAAAACTCGAAAAATTGTGAACTATGAGAAAATTAGGAATTGAGGAGCATCGGTCAGCTCCAGAGCAAAAGCACAAATAAGTGAGATAAAATGAGAAATTTAAGTTATCGGTCCCATATATTCATATATTCAGCCCTTCAGAGAATACAACCCAAATAATTTTTCTCTAGCAACCTTGATGTTCAGACCTTTAGCTTCTTATATATATCTCACTTTGTAATAATATAGTGAAGTTTTTTGGTCTGAGGTTCAAATCCCCTCTAACACAGTTAGACTTAAAAAGGTGGTATTCGAATTGTTAGTCACATTAGAATTGACTGGAGGCTCATATAATAGCCTGTGGTCATTCCTTAATATATATAAATATATAAACAACATGATAAGAATTAAAGGCACTGAACTTAGCTTTAAAGTTCATTAACGTTGGCTTTGCTGATAGTTTTAAATTTCTCTTACAATCTTATCATAAAAGCTCATCAGTAGCTATTGTCAAACCATAAAGTTTATAACTTTTTTATTTGTTGCTTCCTCAATTTTGAAATTAGTTATGTCAATTACACCTTCAATAGCTTATGATCTACTTGTATATCTCATTTTATATATTTGATACACCATCAATGAATTTTGTCATTTCACATAAATCTCGAAA